GAGCTCCAAATCACTGCAGAAGTTCAAGAACCTAAATGACTTAAGAAATCAACACGCAAGCCCCCCCCTTTTTAACAAAGTATTTGACAGCACTTTGATAAAAAACACACAGCGCCTGCACTTCACCCTACCTGTTCAGGCCGTACAAAGTGAAGGGTTCCTCCAAAGGCTCACCAGGTCAGGAGCATGGCGATGGTGCAGAGGTGCCAGGATGAGCCTTGCCCGCTCCCTTTGTGCTCTCGCCCGGGGCCAGGCCGTCAGGCACTCACTGGCCACACCTGGGCCATCTTCGCCCCCAGTACTACACCAGAATGACTCAGCACCAATCGTGGCCAGAATGGCAAACACTGACCACAAGTCAATCATCTCGAGACCCTATAAAGAGTGACCCAAAGCAGGGTCTTTGGGGTTGTGTGAGCTGGTATCTCCCCAGGACCTGGGATGCTTCTCAGGGTACATTTTGCAGGGACTGACAGATTGTCCATTGATGGTTTTGTGAGGGCTCAAAGGCCTGATTTTGTGAGGTTCATCAACTGTCCGTTGATGAATGCTGGCATATGAAGTGAGTGCTTTATGAAACTCATGAAAAGGCAAGCTTTGGTCTGAGGTTAACCTCTGTGCCTGTGTGCAATTTGACTCAGAACTGTCTGTGTGTGTGTGATGTGATTGAACCTCCGCCTGTGTGTGCAACCCTGCTGTCAGTTTTGGGTGATCTCGCCATTCCTGAATCTTTAACAAAGTCACTACCTGCAGTGTAACAAATTCCATTGAATCTCTCTGTTAAATTGGCTGATGATTAAGTGCTGTTAAGAATTACACACCCTAATCTTGTGCAAAATATTAATAAATCCTAAATTTCTGCTAAACCAAAACTGTAAAAAATCATATTTGTGACAGTGATATAAAGGATTGATTGTACACATCTCATCCTTTAGATATAAACCATTGGCCAAGTCTGGGACTAGGAGTAGATCCAGCCATACCTAGATTCTTCTCTGAGGAGTCTGGAAATCAAGGGGGTCCTTAATGAACCTGGGCACTCGACAGGAGGGTCTCCCCTACGGTTTGTCTGGCCCTGTCCTCTACACAGCAAATAATCAATCTTGTTGTGTCACCGTTGCATTTACTACCAAACTTTGAACTGCCGTTTTAAACATATTGCTGCTTCTCTCTGATGAGTGAAGTCCACCCGTGGCAGGGAGCCAGACGGGACTTCAAGCAGTGGCCAGAGCTGCCTGAGAGCTGTCAGGACTGTACTTACGTTAGAGTACGTAAGGCCTGAACCGCATGTATATAGGTAATGTTTACGACTAAAATAGACGGTGCTCCGCTGTAAGATGGCTCCAGTCTGCTGGGTAGGTGACACGGGCACTACAAATTAAATATATGCCCTTGATCTGAAAGGTGTCGACAAGTGTCACAACTCCGGGCCCTGGATACAACATAGGCACTTTTTAAACTGTGAAACCTTCCATCCACACCTGCACAGGACATTTCTACGAAGTGCATTTATATGAACCTTTAATACACAGATAAAAGCCTCTCTTCCTATGAAACCAGGCTGGAACTGCACACCAGCACGCCTTGCAGCGTGCCGCACGCCACTGGTAATGGGGACGTACGGTACTGAAACGCTGAGGAGGTCACAACGATGCTGCTCAGTCCTGCTGTGGCTATGGGCACGTGCAAGAAGAGGACGCTGGACATATCTACAGGTTTGGCCACTCCACCACACAAGAGATAGTAAAAGGTTGAGGAAGGAATTACTCTCTTTCCACTGCTTTTGGCTTCTTGACTGAGAGAGAACCGCATGTGCTTTGAAAGCCAAGATCATTTCAGAGTCATCATTTTCAAAATCCTAACAGCTTTCACCAGCACATTACAACCCTCGATTTTTAACAAAATCCAGATCAGCTTTTTTCAACTGAAGCTCCAAAATAGCAATCAGAAATGGCCAAATACAGGAGACAAAGTGCAGGAGAAGTACCTCATGGTCTACTGGACTGCCTTGAGACAAGCCTTCCAGGCATCCTCTGCAAGAGGGCAGAAAATACGAGTGTGCTCACTGGCACCACGCAACAGCTGCTAGACAGTTGACTTACCTACCCAACATTTGAGTATCATTGCCACACTATATTTTGAAAAATGAAGGCCATGAGTCCAAAGACAAGGGGCAGAAATCGGATCTCTGGCAAGGTAGCACAGAGGATCCATTACAAGCAACTAGGGGAGGTTTTCAGGTAAGAGAGCACCATGGAGCCTGGCATCTGACTGGATCTGCACGCTGTGAATTGGGAATCACTGGGAAAAGTCCCAAGAATTCAGTAGCCCAATACTGCTCCAGTTTCCCCCAAGCAGCAGACAGAGGAGGACCCTGATGAGGTTTGTCTTTTTTTTTTTTTCAAACCATACAATACCATAAAACATTATCATAAAATCACTATTTTCACATTGTCCTTGTTACCGTTCATTACGTGAACGGCTGTTTTTAAAATGTTTTAAGAAAGTCTTCAAGCTAGGTGGCAATGCTGACCCTGGCTTTCTAGAATTTCCCTCCACAAAACAAATTGCTTGTGTAATCCTCTGAGGGCTTTACTGCTGCCCGCTGGGCTCTGAGCTACTTTTGCACACACTAGGTTTGGGTTTGCTACATTCAACAGCGCTCCTGCTTAATAAACTTTACTGCTTCTAACAGAAACCTTGGCCTTGGCCAATGTTGCCGGCCTTGCCCAATAACAGACTGCGTGTTATTACTAGTGTTCAGCACAAAGTATTATAAAGCACTTAAGGGACCCTGTTCATGAACAGCAGATCCTTGGGCCAACGTACATGACATGGTGTCACGCCAGAGTCCCTCTCTCAACGTACCGTATCGCTGGCTAACACAGACACACACCTGCTGAGAAGATGTAATTGGCAATGCCCTTCTCACTACTTCAAAAACTTAAAATCCGAATGACAGAGGAAATTCAACAGCCTCATTCCCACTGCACAGTTCAGCCTCTGGCATCACACAAGATGTTTTCTGATCCCCCGCAATTAATTTTACTGTTCACATAAAGCACTGCTTAAGGTTACTCCGACTTTTGCAGGAACAGCTTTTTCTGCATTATTCTCACAGCTTCTCCTGGAAGCCAGTCTCTCTGGTGTTCTTCTGCACTGAAGTACAAACCATGAAGCAAATAGCTTTCATAAGGATCATATTTACTCAGGAAAAAAAAGAATCCACTCCTTGAAACACTTTATTATGGCAACATGAAGTAGTTGGCTTCGATGTTTGTTGTAGAAGCCCTCTTTTCAAAAGCACTACACATCGTTCTACCTCAACTTTGAGAGGAGTGACCCAAGGGCTCTGTTGATGGTTTATGTTGTGCAGTTTGAGACTGAAACTGTTTGTTCCCTATCCACTTGCTGCCTTTTTGCTGGAATGGACATCTAAAACGGCTGTAACAAGCCTTCGGTCCCCTTTGAAAAAGGCAGTGTGATTCCTTCAGCACAGCATGGTCAGCTTCCCAAAGCAATCACAACAAACCTGGGGCTGGGGCATCAGCTCCAGGGAAGGAGAGGCTTCACCCCGCAGAAAGCAAGAGGGCAGGTGACCGACACCCGCGATTTTAGCACTAGGCTGTGCCCATTGCCATGAGCGCGGACGCCCATCGCCAGGCAGCCCCTTCCGTGCAGCTAATGGAAGCTTGGAACAGGTGTGGGGAGCAGGAATATTGACAAGGACAAATGAACTCTGATTTCCAGACCTGAGTCAAGCTTTCAAAATTGTTAAATGCTCTGTCTGAGAACTAGTTATAGTTTATGGAGCATTAGAAATACCAAATATAAATCTTAACATCATACCAATAATAGTACGACTATGTAAACAGGGAAACCAGAAACCTGCAATGCTCCCACCCTCCCCATTCCAGGGATGACTATTCTGCCTCTTATTGGGCACCTGTTCATATTTACTGCATCATTGCCATGATCATTTCCTAAAACACTCGGTGATTCTGCTGCTTTCCCTGCCTTGCTAAAATCAATACACTTAGTCTCCATGTCACAATCTCATGATTAAATAACTCTTCACCAGACTCTGTTGGTATGGCTCTTATATTCTTCTAAGAACTTCATTCAATTATTTGCACTGTTCTTCAAGTCATATGTACATTGGGTTTCTTATTCCTCGCTAGAAACTCTTCATATGCTATCTTGCCTTTCCTAAACAACATGACTGTGTATTTTTGTCCAATAAACTCATTTGGTATGTATTAGGTGACTAATAATGTAGGTTTTCTCAGGAAAATCAACATGTGAAAGAGGTGTTAATTTTGAGATCACAGGGCAAAGCAAGCCTTCTTAAGCCAGAAAATGAATATAAAAAGCTCCATTTAAAATAAATCTAGACGTAATAAAAAGACAGCTGTTCATCCTTCGGCCAACTATAACTTTGCCCTGTCACAGCACCTTATGGGAAAAACAAATAGGTTTTTAAGAATATTTTTAACAAACTGGATCAGCAAATATTATTGTACGTAACCAAAACAGCACTACACTACACGTTTAACGTTTGTGTTTTGAGTGTGAGCTTCCTCAAGTTTGGATGTTTCAATTTCTTTTAACTTTAATCCTGAATTTCCTGAGTATGCACAATAGCAATGCTTATAGTTTTAAACTACTCAGCCTTAACTTCAAATCAAATTTGTTGAGCTACAATTTTAAATGAATAAAAACCAAACATATAATGTTCATTAGTATCCTGATGTAATAGTTGCTATCATTAGTCTAGGACCCCACTTTTTATAATTGATACTTTAATACTCTTGGCTAATTAACCAATTAAATTACTATTCCACCTAAATTCAGAAAGCAGAGGAATAAAAAAAGATACCGAATACTAGTATGTTTACATTTTGGTAAGCTCTTGCCCATGGTAAAGCAGCTTAATATGAAAAGTTTCCTGTAGAATATACTCTAGAGCAAAAGAGACAAAAAGAAACTCTGTAACCTACCTCATATTCCCTGCCATAATCAGGAACAGATTATAAATGTGAGAAAAAATGAAGAGGAAGAGGATGGTACTGAAGAACATCGTCATCCAAGACCCATGGTCCTCTCGGAACATTTTCAGACGGAGCAGCTGACCTGTGGTAAAAATATTATGAGAAAGCATATTTTACTCAGTCAGTAAATACAGGTTTACACGCTAACAAAACCAAAACAGAGCACTGAATTGTATTTCTTCAATTATGCCACAGAGTGTGGGGAGGGCAGATTTAGTACCATGCCGACAAATGACTCTTCTGCAGTTCAGCATGAACAGATACTATTCCTACAAAATTAGAAGGTTGCTTCCCACAAACTGATGAAAAACTGGTTCAGGGCCTTACAACCAGAACGACCGCGGTGGAGGGCTGTCGGAGTCCGCATCATGCACCTGGGCAAACCGCGGCTGTGGTGTTACGTCCAGCACCTGTGCTTCTACACACTGGTTGAGCACCTTTCCACGTTCCCCCGTCCCAGCCATTAATATCTCTGCTCGCTCTGCTCTCACGCTGGCACAGCAAGCTGAGCAGCCACGCACAAGTGACCAAAAGTGGGGAACGGACCCATCTAGAAAGAAAGAAAATTTACCTTTTTTTGTTTTTTCTTTTTTTTGAATGAGTTCCATTAACCCGCTGACCTTAAAGCTCAATGAACAGTAGTGCTGCACACCTGTGCAAAAATGGGAAGGAGCGACAGATTGGAAGGGCAACTGCCTAAACCATCCCATTTTCTAAAACTGTTACGTCCTAACACTCCAAAGCAAGTGCCACAGCAGGGAAGATCTCAGGGAATTAGTCTAGACCTCAAGGCAAGCGCCACTTTTTAGTGGCATTTGGGCAATGTTTTGAGAAACAAGTCTATTTATAAATTTTGAGGTGTCATAAGTACCGCGGGCTGTGTGAGATCCATTATCTGCTGCCAGTTATTTCCCGATCAGTAACAAAAGAGTCAGTAAGTCTTGATGGTTGCCTGCCTCTTTACACCAACTATAGACAGCATCAGGTCAAATATCATATGACATGACAATAGCGATGTCATCATATATGTTTGGCTAGCTTGCGAAAAACACAGTAAAATAAGAGTTAAAAGGCACAAGACATCTGTTCGTATTTACTTGGGCATATTTTTATTTGGAAATACATGCTCCTAAAATGTTTTATTATAATATTCCCCAGACAGAATGACAGAAACAAATCAAATTAAATAAGTTTATTCCATTTTGCTACAATAAGCAAACAATAAACTAAATGGCTAAGAGCCAAATTCTTCTAGTGTGACAAGTATGTTGCAATACTGGTTTCTCACCGATCTTTGTTTGGATTAAATCTGAGGACGCAGTATCCAATTCAATGCCCAACTGTTATAATGAGTTTGAACACATTACTGCATGTTGTAATAATGTATTAGCCTACAAAACCGACTGCAAGGGAGGGGCAGCTTTCATGTACCGTATCAAGATCATGAGACACTACGGTGATGGGCACCTCTGTAATGTACCAGAGGAACACAAAATAGACCATGGCCTGAAAGGTTTGGTTGTTCTTGTACGTGCTCAGCTGTGGTCAGAAGAACAACTTTCTCACTGACTACTGTAAATTCAGCATTGTTTTGTAAGCAAAAACTGTTAAAACCAAAACCTCTTAGTCGAAGAGGTAAATTTTGCTACAAATGTCCCAAAGCTGCTTTCTAAGGAATACCATCTTTATGTGTCCACTGTTCTCCATTTGTCTCTGTAACACTTTTATCCCACAAACTACCCAAATTTTCACACTCATTAAGACATGAGCTTACCTTTTTAAAATAACAGTGTTCAAATGTTCCTGAAAGTTTGGTTTTCTCTTCAATATACATAAACGAATGCATTCTGATATCAGAGTTTTTCTTTTCCTTGTCTCAGAATCTCCTCACTTGGCAAAAAGCTATGACAAAGAGTACCGCAGGGCAGTTACAATACTTGACCCCTGTACACTGCTTTCATCAGTGGAAGCCAGAGCTCTTTAGGCAGAATTACAAATGTAGCTGGACCGATTCTACAGCCGGAGGAACTGGGGCAGAGGCAGGCAATGTGCCTAAGTCCACCATGCGCCTTGCAGGGAAGCGGAGCTGCTCTGCTCCTGCCTTAGGGCTGCCAGGTCTCCCTGCGCTCTGCCTGGAGCCCGCGGTCCGAGGGGACGCGATGTGCCGGCCCCCGTGCAGGGACCTGCCACCTCTACAGCCCCCCGCCACGCTCTCTCTTCAGGCCTTCTCCCAACTCACTGCTTAGCAGCTCGGTCCCTTCCTCTTCACACGACGAGGCACGGATGGGGCTTCCTCCAGCTGGGAAAGGTGAACCTTCATCGGGGAGCACTGCAGTTCTCAGCTTTTGCAGCCTAAGGTAAAACGCAGCCCAATGCCACAGAACCCAATGGGCAAGGTCTCAGCTGCTGACCTAGCTAGAAAAGCGATGTCCTCACCAAGTACATCGTGTGCTAGGGCAACGAGAACCTAGGAGCTCCAGCTTCCCACCAGTCTAGCCAACACCGGTCAGAAGATGGACATCAGTAGCCAGACGTCCTTCTGTCTTACCCCATTTGGGTGGTCTCAAGGGCCTGGTCTGAACTAGAAACCGCAGGTGAGCAAATGCCGGTGAAATGTGTAGCACTCTGCCTTCCACTGAATTGCCACACAGCCTTTAGAGGTTGCTTGCTATTTCTCAAAGAAAAAATAATAGAAAAAATACAAATGTTCATAAGAACGCACATTCATTTTTTAACACAGAAACAAGAACAGGAAGATGGACTTTTGCTGCTGCGAGGAAAGGGCTGACATCCTCTTTTCCTAAGGGATGACCCAAAGGCAACCGAGAGCAGGGTGGCAATGGCCAGCGCCGCCGGCCGTAGCGACCATTGCCTGGGGTTCGTAACGGCACCACACCTCCCTCTCTGCTTCACGCTAACGTCATTACTATGACCGGGATGCAGTATCTCGAGCTGCTGTTGTGAAAAAGCTGTACAATGCAGATAATGTGGGAAGACTTAAAGCTATGCCAGAATTAGTGTGTAGGCACGCTTAATTCTGAATTTTTCTGCACCTGTCAATTTGCATTAGACAGATTTAACATGTAATTTTAATTATAGAGTTTACTCTTACTGAAGTCATTACTTCAGGTTTAGACAACTGTGCTGATGCAGTTAAAAGGAAACCTGTAAAAATAGATATTGATTTCCTATAATGTTTTGGAACATTTTTTAGTAGGGAAGCAATTGAAAACCCTGCGTTAGCAATAGGAAATGCTAACGCATTTGTTCTTGAGGTGTAGATTTTTTAATTCTATGTGACTGTATCCCAGGTTATAAAATGAACGTGAAAAAAAAATCCTCTCTTTAGATGTCCTCACTGTGTAACAAAAGAAAGCTGTTTAGAGGGCATGTAAGTATTATATTTTTACACTCTTTAAGAATTTTTAGCATTAAGAAACCTGCTTTTTTTTAACTGCCAGACCTACAAAAGTAATTTCATGATCCTCCTCCTTTTTTTAATTTTACAGCTGCAACATTTCATCATCTTATATGTAGTGCCTACAGAAACTACATTTTCCTTCTTTGAATTCACTGGAATCCAAATTGCACAGTAGGTAAAAGAAACCCAGCAGTATTTCTATCCCCTGTGATGCGGATGCTGAACCCTGAAGGGCAGTGCTGTAGTCTCTGGTTTTCAATACCAGTTTAGCAATATTCTGCAACGATTTGTCAAAATAATTATTTCTTTTCTTTTTCTATACTGTTTGCTCTTTTCTCCTGAAAATGCACTGAAACTGATTCACAAGATTATTTTTAACAGTAGAGTCGCTTACAATCTATCTACCATGCGGTCTTTTAAAATAAACATTTATAAAGCATTTCTTAGTCAGAAAACAAAGCAGATTTTGTGATCACCCATCTAGGAGCACCTACAGGTTTACAAAAGGTCGTTCCAGTAAGCGGTGCAAAATGCGGTATTGTGGCACAGTAAATCGCAAACCTGATTGTAACATAAACATACAAAAGCAGAAACACACTTGAAATTCGTTTCTATGTAAACAGTTCAATATGTTTAAATAACAGCAAGTTGTTTAACTATAAAACAAACCTTTAGCCTGATGTGCCTGAGCAAAGCCCCTTTCTGTCCGGCAGAGGAAGGGGAGGCTGACACAAAGGAGCCCCCCACAACCCACCCCCGGGCGGCACGGGGACTCCACAGAGATTTCGGTTCGACCGCGAGCTTTGCCGGGGTTCTTCTACGGGGCGTGGGCAGGCGCGGCTGTCGGGGGGCCGCGGCGTAGGGAGCCAACGGCCGGCAGAGAGCCAGAGAGAAGGGAGATGTACACTCCCTCCCGGCAAAAAGGGACTCACTTGGTCAGTCAAATGCAGGAGAGAGCAGGTGTTCTGACAAAAAAAAAAAGTGTGTCTCAAAGAAGCGAAAAAATGTTCATTTTAATCAAAAGAACGAGCTAGACTCTCCCCTGGTCAAGAACAGAGTCCGGTATTTTTGGTCTAGGCCCCGCAGCGGACGAGCGCTCCCGTGCAGGAGGTTCCCCCTCTCTAGTTCTAATCAGAGGCGTAGTGTGCAGGAAAAAAGAAACCCTGACCAAAAAAAAAAAAGTGTGTCTCAAAGAAGCGAAAAAATGTTCATTTTAATCAAAAGAACGAGCTAGACTCTCCCCTGGTCAAGAACAGAGTCCGGTATTTTTGGTCTAGGCCCCGCAGCGGACGAGCGCTCCCGTGCAGGAGGTTCCCCCTCTCTAGTTCTAATCAGAGGCGTAGTGTGCAGGAAAAAAGAAACCCTGACCAGAGACAGCGTTCTGATTTAACCTCTGTAGGTACAGATTAAGCGTGGGTTTTGTTTTAGCCCTTGTCTTCAATAAATATTTGTAACTCTGCTGTCTGGTTTGGACACCAAACCCCCGGGCTCGCGGAGTGCGTTTGCGCTGCCAAGGCACAAGGCGAGCGGAGAACTGGTGGTGTGGGACCCAGAGGAAGGCTATTCCGGCGGCAAGCAAGACGGCTCTCTAGCCCGCGATGAAATACGGGGGTACGCGTTTTGACCTGAGCGTTTTCCAGACTTGGTGAAAACCACTGTTTCATAAACTATACACTTCCGAACCAGCTTCTGTACACGCATCTGGACAGACACTCGCCTGAGCACCAAACCGGGATACAATCCGTTAACCAAGTCCTGGAGCAGGAGCAGTAAGCTAGGAGGTTGGCTGGGGGCGGCGGGAGGCAGGCAGTACTGTCATTGAAAAATGTTTTAATTTTTCCAAAGATATGCTTTCTCTACTCAGGTTTGGTTTTTCCTTTGTTTTTAAATGAATTATCAATTTAATCATAAAAACAGTGTACAGAAATAGTCCTTGCTATCCTTCGTCCAGCATATTTATGTCTCCTCATGGAGCGACAAGAAGCCCCGGTGCAGCCAGCTGTCATACCCACTGACCACCACGAGGCGGCGCTCCTCTGCCGGAAGAGCAGTACCGCTGCCCGGACCGCCGGGCTCCGGCCGGGTGCGCGCACATCCTGAACTGCGGCACCCCGGTACAGGACCGCAGGACCTCCGATGCCGTACCCATCGCCACGGCGTGACAACAGCACAGCCGTTATCACTCGTTTCCTTGAGAAATGAACCCCAGCTGAGCAGGACTGCAGTTAGCTTGGCTGGAAGGTGAGGCATGGAAACCGCAGTGGAGCTGATGCGCTGTAAAGATCCACAGTTTCTGTAAGGTTAGGAATCGGAGAACCACAGAGTCTTTTAGGTTGGAAGACCTTTACAATCATCGAGTCCAGCCATAAACCTAACACTGCTAAGTGCAGCAAACCCATCCCTGGAGTAACTTAGGGCAGAATGCATCCCTGGAGAGACATCTGCACGCTTGTCTGAGGGCAGAAGGAGAGTCCAGCAACAACAACAACAAAACAGCTGTAAGACAACCATATAAATGTAAGCACATGATCTACACCAATTCCACACCAACAGTATCAGGACATCAAACCACACCTGGAAATGCAAGGATCAATGATCCATATTCCCTATACCACCTTACATGAGCCTCCACCCAGTTAAGATTTAGTTTGATACCCAGAACGGCATTCTGGTACCTCTGGGTACAGGCACGCTGCCCCTCTAAGCTCTTCGCGTGTACAATAAAAACCTTAACCGAGAGCTGAAATAATCGCAGCTTTTCTAATACAAAACTTCAGTCTGTGCAATGTCTGAAGAGTTCTAAGTTTTGTGTCATCTGGGATTGGGTAACATTTTGGTGAGAAATGGCCAAAAGGGAAAATGAGGATGGACTGACCAGTTAAGGTGAGATTCTGACTTTTACCTGTAAACTTTGGACAAGGTCTAAAAGCGACCACCCCGTGGTCGTTAACGCAACGTCTGGGCAGGCTTTGAGAGCCTGGATTTCATCAGCTCAGACAACAGTCACCAGAAAGGACATTTTCACTGACAGAGGGTAAATGAACAAAGTCAGCATGCGTTTCAAACAGTTTAAACCACTAAAAAAGAAGGTCAGACCCCAGGGAGAAGCTTCCTGCTGGTAAGCAGACACGCAGGTGGCCTTTCCCAAACTCCAGTATCCCAAGGGAAGCAAGCACAGCCTAACCTCCACCCGAGGCTGCTGCAAGAGGCAAGCTAACTAAGCTCAGAGGCTACTCAAGGAGAGTTTGATTCACCAGACAGGTCTGAATGATGAAAATGGCAACAATCAAAGGAGAAAGGTGCTGGCGAACTGTTTGGGACAAAAGCCCCTTCTATCCACCTCTGTACGTTAATGTGGCAAAAGGCTGTTCCCTGGGAAGTCTGATGCTACTACAGATAAGCATTCCACCTCTAAAGGTGCATCTGTCCAACACAGTTCAGGATCTAAGAGAAATAATAAAGACATATCAATGATGCAGCTTTCAGGTCCATAGTGCTTTCTGTGCAGCATGACAGTGCACGGCAATTTAATCTTCAAATAGCCAAAAAAGAGCTCTCCATCTCGAGACACTACTGTCCTAACAAGGAACAAACACAGAAAACAGGACATGGCACTTGTTTCCTTGAGGTTACGGTGCACTTTCTCAGTTTTGCTCCTGAACATTTCCAGCTCTTTCAGAGGGAGCTCCTTTCCCTCTCAGAGTAAGGAATTCAAACCTCTTCAACAGAGTCAAAAATGTCTTCACTCATTTTGAAGCTGTGTTTCTTTTAGGAATATCTTGTTAGACTACATTCAGTACATCTTATATGTATTGAAAAATAACCATAAATTTTGTCCTGAGGCATTTACAATGGTCACAAAATATCCACTGAGACTCCCTGAGAAGTCTAGTTGTAAAGGATTCAATGTCAAGTAACATGAATTATTCAGTCACAAAAGGAGTAGTGCCTTTCCTAGCGCCAAAGAGACCTAAGTGATGTGGACACACTCAGCAATACACACGCTCTTCCTTCTCCGAGGAAGCAGCCTTTGAAGGACTTCACCTTTCCATAATACCTCACGCCAAGGAAATGGCTAGAACAGGCTCAGCTTGCTTCCCTCAACAAGACAAAATAGCGTAAGATGGCTTTACGGCATGTCTCTGAGAGGTAAGGTCTGTACTATAAAAACAAAAGAGAGGGACTGAAAATATACTTACATTGAATATACCTCAATGGAAGCAATGTGTAAATATCTATGCTTAGTTTTGGTCTTCTAACGTAACTGTATCAGGTGTCAAATCCGATCTCCAGGACACTACCCACAGGAGAAGGTGAGTGAAGAACCTGGGCTCTGCAGCAAACGGGGTCTCCGTTCCAGGGGAAAATTCAGCTCATCTACAGGGAGGAACTTGTACAGCATCAGTGGAAACAAGAACTAAAAACTGATGAACCACCACCAGAGGACACAATACCAAACCAGAGTTTTGCAGCAAATGTACGGCAATACCATAACATTTGAGACAAAAAGGATTTTGGCTCTCTGGAGTCGGGCGTTGGCGGAGTGCTGAGGGTAAGGCTTCAGGTACGTTGAGGGGCAACGCTGCGCAGGCAGCAGCGCTGCAGCGTAGCCCCTTTGCCTCTGAAAGACCACTGACGCCTGCATTCCTTCTGGACTCTGCCACGAGCATGGCAATCAGAAACACAGTCTCAAGAGAAGTTTGCTTTTTTATCTGCAGCCTAAGAGACAGAAATCTGTAGAGACCCCCAAGAGAGCAGTACTCCTGGTTTACTCTTTGAATTTAGATAGGTCATACAGACGTGACCTCTAATTGAGAGAAAAATTGTTCCACCTTTGGCTGCCACAGCGAGGAGCTGCATGGGGTAAAGCATGGCCCCAAACCACTTCAAAGTAATCTAAGCTGGGATGCACCAAAAAGAACATCAAGCAAAGTGGAAGGCATGGAGAAAACTATTTGCAAAGACTTTACATTTGCATTTGCTATATGAAAGCGATACCAAACTGAATGCTGTGCTCAGCCCTGAATTCCCCAGGCCAGGAGCTCCACAGAAGCGCCGCATAAAATACTAGTTTTCAGTTTCTCCTTCACTCCCTATACCTCCAGCACATTGCACTGTCGAGAGTGAATTAAGATCCGTATTTTTTGTCACTTACATCTATGACCACAGGTTAGCAAGAGCACTAGGATGTTTGTGGGGTTTTCCTCACCAAAGCAGGGATCTCTCAATTTTTAGGCCTTGTTCCCTTTTTCTCAAGGAAACTAAAATTAAATATTGTTGCTGCTGTGACTCTCTAGGAACATTTTCCTCGATCCTGCCTCATCTCTTTATGGCCCCTCCGCCACAATTCTCGTTTTCATTGTTTCTTTAGTATGTTTGGCTTTGGCTGAATCCCGTATAGATATATTTTCTTCTTTGCTTTAGTATTAAATGAAAGTGTGCTTCTTAGTAGACACACATTGCATCAGTGTCCCAGAAATAGAAAACATTATTCAGCATGTGCGTAAGTGAGCCTACAAAGCCCTAAGCAGCTGTCCACTTTGAAAGACCATACCCCAGTGCTGCTGCTGAAAGGTGAGTTCAAGGCATTTTAAAAGACAGGGAGACCTCAGCAGAAGAATCTGCTTCTTTTCAACCAAACGTTGGGTTTAAATATTTTCTTTTTTCTGGACTTCAGGCAAATGGCCAAAACCAATAAATTTCCCAATATCTTAACAGAAGGAGGAGGATGAAGGAGCCGGTAATTTTGGGGGTTTATGAGTACACGCGAAAATTTGAGAAAGATTTTCTTCTTAGTAACAGGTAGGCAGGAACAAAGACTACTGCTAACTACTACCTTTATTATTTGTCTTCAGAATGACTGTCAAAGGCATCTAAAAATAGACATATTTTTGTTTGAATTCTGAACAAATTGTTGGGGGCTGGGAAACTATTCTGGGAGTTATCACTACAGTCTTTCCTATTCCTACTTCTCAGCATCCACAGTGGGCTACTGTCAGATACTGAGCCAGAAACATCACTGGTTCAACCCACAGAGTTTGTAATATTTTAACATCTTATAAATCATAATAATAGCTGATAATCACATCTAAATCAGGTACTTTGCTATAACTTACTCAATGGTCAATTTGAACATGCCAAAGATAGTAATTTTTTATCATTCCAGGTGATTAATTGATAGATGCAGCTATCAATGCACATAAGGCAATGTGCAAAACATGAAAACATGGCTGTAACTTGCAATTTTTATCTTGTGTCTTATTAAATTATTTTTCTGCCTCTTTATTTGGATATATAATCTAAGAAAAGATTAAATTTCTGCTTTGCTGAGCTTAAGGGAGGACATCACTTTAAACATGTTAAATGTTTTTGGATATTTATATCAAATAGGAGAACACCCAGTGTTTTTCTACCATTGTCATCATCAAAATGCCACCACAACCATCATTAAATTACCATCAGCACTTTTGCTTGAAAATTTCAAAAGCAGAGCCTTGCTCCCAAAGCCGTTTGTAGCCCCCTGCTCGGCGGCTGCGCTGCAGACGGGGCTGCTGCAGAACTGGGCAAAGCGGCACCCACTTCTGACGGGGCCTCCGTAAGGGCACCGAGGGACCCCAACAGGCTGCTGCTTGGGCAGGAACAAGGGGGGGCCGGTTGTGGATTAAATGTTAAAGTGTTCCTAAACGCTCGGTACGTGATACACGGCTTAGGACTAAAATGCAGCCGTCTCTGGAGTGAAACATGGTAGATGGGTAAGAACATCTCGCCTTACCTAGAAAACAAAGGAAATTAAAATGCTTTATCTGAACCAAGCTTTGAGAACATCTGGATTAAAAGTCCTATGTTTGTAAAGGCTTCACAGGATCATTGCTTCTTACCGTGAGTTACTCAACACTTACTGTTCATGCCTGGGGTCCCCTTGCCCTGGGGCTCGGCTGCTGCCCCTACCCAGACACCCAGCCCGCCTGGGACACCCCTTTCCCACCCAGAGACATCAGGGAGAGTGAATCCTCAAAGCAGAAAAGTCTCTGTTCTTCCCCCATCCCCTGGCAGGGGCTACCCAGTGGGGAACAACGGGGTACTGCCCCTTCTGACCAAAAGAGAGAAAGAAGAAAGCAGAAAACTCTGTTTTCCACCATCTGAAATGCG